AAGGTTGCCTACTCCTGGTATAGGGTCTCCTACTTGAGCAGGGGGCTGGACTAGAAGACCTCCAAGGTCCCTTCCAGTTCTATGCTATTCTAACTATGGCAATTTTACGGCCTGCGGACTTCAACTCCCATGCTGGCTCAGGAATTCTGGGAGTTGAAGTCCATAGGTTGTAAAGCTGCCATAGTTGCCTATCCCTGCTTTAGAAGAAGTGTTTTAAAACGAGCGGATAGTTTTGGGCATAATATCTACAGTAAATTCATTCCTAATTTTCTTTTTGTCCAACTTTGTCACGCTTTACTTTTTTCAGCTTTTTTTCCCTTGCTTGCTTGGCTTTGGAAGTTATATAACACGCAACTGCCGTAGGATTATTGTTGAAAGAAATAGCTGTGTTTCACAGTCCACATTTGCTTGAAAAGAAGTGGGAGGATAGACTAAGTAGATTTCAGCTCCTGCTCCTTTTGAGATTCATCCACATTTTATTTAAACACAAATGAACATTTTATAAATATTGACTTAAAGGGCTTTAAAGGCTGTCAAAAGCTACACCGAGGATATCACAAGTGCCCTTTGTTCGTTAAAACAGCTCTAACAGAAGTAGGTTTCATTTTTGTTTAATTGATGTTTCGGATTAAAAAAAAAAGGAAAATTGCAGATATTTAGGACTTTTAATGCATTGATACTCGTTTGGATTGCCTATCATCTCTTTAGGGCTGCTGGCAGCTGCTGTGAGCACCAAATGTATAACAAGTGTGCTTTAAGAAATATTTAATGAATTACTCAAATTGATCCAAAGTTTTAATCCGTAAAATACAGTCCAGCCTTATTGATCAGATTTTTAATATTATTGCTTTTCATACTCATGTTTATGGAAACCATAAAGGGAAATTTTCTATCTTTAGAAGATGCATTTTATAAGCTGTCATGCAGGAGAAAGTAAGTGTATTTTAAGATAGTGCCTGGACTTATTTATAAACAATATTCTTTGTGTTGCAACTATTTTTATTCCAGGCAAATGTATGCAGATTTACTTAATTTCACATATAGGCCATGAAACACAAATCTAATTCTTTGTCTTTACAGGATCTTAGCATATTTATCTATTTTCAACTTCCTACCATTTCTGCACTGCAAATCTAATAATTCTAATTCATGCTTTAGGTGCATTCCATTTATGTTTAAATCAGCTTGAGATAGTAAAACAGATGAATTTCTGAGAGGAGATAAATTGCCGGCAGATTAAATAATCATTGTTGGGGGGAGCAGATCCAAATGCACCTTAATGCATGGCTAAAAATGAATTCAGTTATTTATGTGACACATACAGATACGTTTACACAATATTTCTCAACCTCGGCAGGTTTAAGATGGGTGGACTTCCGCTCCCAGAATTCCCTATGGCTGGGGGATTCTGGGAGTTGAAGTCCACCCATCTTAAACCTGCCGAGGTTGAGAAACAGTGTTAATGTATAGGCCTAAATGTATGACTAGAAATAACTATTCAAACTATTGAAACAGAAATACAGTACTTGTCATTAAAGGGAAGTCCAGATAATTGCCCAGAGTCCTTGCTAGTAGGGAGTACCATCGGAGAGAGATTCTGCTCACTCTTTTAAAGTTATTTATCTGTAAACCAGGTTTGAGCTGGGCAGCCTAAATGAAGAACTTTTTTAGGATGAAAGACTTTTTATTGGTCTTCTATAAAATAGGCACAATGCTTTCCCCCATTTTTCTTACTGCCAAATCTCTCTCTGGAAGGGGAGGTAATACGCCAGTCATTTTGTGTTTTTGGAAACTGAATAGGAATGACTTTTCTACTGCAGCCCTGGGGGAAAAAACTGTAAATAAATAAAGATAAAGAAGAGTGGACGGGCTTCTTTGTTCATAATAGGCCGTTTGCAAAAAAGCCTAAAAACTGCTCATGAGCCCAGTCAGCGCTTGTTTTTAATCTTGATGATAAAGGCAGATGGAAGATTTCTTTTTTTTTGTTTCTGAATATTTCACATTGCGGTGGGAGGCGTTTGGTTTTTGTAGAAATCACAAAAATGCAAATATCTGGGATTCGAGTCTACTGTGGATAGGATGTGCATTACTAATAGAATTTGGATTTTTATACGATTCTGTAATGAATTGGGATACCTACCGTTTTCAAGTGTCCTACAAACACTGGAATTTTTGTGATTAAAACTGTTTTTTGTAGTTACATTAAAAGGAAGCTCACCATCAGAAAAGTTAATTTCTGCTCCATTTAGAAATAAGTCAAGGTGGCAAACATACATAATACTCCTTCCTTCCTCCTATTTTCCCCACAACAACAACAACAACAACCCTTTGAGGTGGTTTGAATGAGAGAAGAGGGACTGAACCAAAGTCACCCAGTCAGCTTTTATGCCTAAGGTGGACTAGAACTCACTGTCTCCTGGTGATTGGCCCAAAGCCACCCAATTGGCTTTCATGCCTAAGGTGGATCTAGAGCAGTGGTTCTCAACCTGTGGGTCGGGACCCCATTTGGGGTCGATCGACCATTTCATGGGGGTCGCCAAGCAAGGCTGTCCGCCATTTTTTTGTCCGCCATTTTTTCCCCCTTTTACGGCGGGTGCCTTACCTCCCTTGGGCTGGGCCAGCTGGTGGTCAGCCTACTCCGTCTCTGCCGCTTGCCAGCTACACCTCGGCCGGCACAGGGGGCGGAACCACGCATGTGCGGTGCTCCCGGGCAGGGAAAGTCTTCGACTTACGACCGGTTGGGTAGTCCTTGACTTACGACCAGTTTAGTCCTCGACTTACGACCGGTTTAGTCCTCGACTTACGACCGGTTTAGTCCTCGACTTACGACCGGTTGGGGTCGTGGCATTAAAAAGGTTGAGAACCACTGATCTAGAGCTCACCCTCTCCTTGTGTCTAGTCTGATGCTTTCACCACTAGACCAAATATTAGCCTGATTAAAACCTGTCTTTCAAAGGGGATCTGGGCATTCTCAGGCCATATGTTTGAATTCAAATTCTTAAATTTGTATCCTATCATGACCAGAAACCTATTGGTAAGTATTAAGCCATACAAAGCCAACATGTACTATTCATAGACAGAGCTAAGTTCATCAGCATAGAAACCTGGGAATCTGCAGAAGTCTAAAAATATATTGGGTTAAAAATTCTAAGATGTTTAAAGTAGTGGACACTGGAACAGTCAGATGAGCATGAAGCACGTTTAGCACTGACAGATTACTAAATAGATGAGGATGAAATGAATAAGTAATCTTCACGTAACACTGAGTTGCAGATCCACCATGTCTGCTCCTGTTTGTGGGTAGACCCTGTGGAAACCAGCAGGGCTTGACAAAATCTGCACACGAAGAACCTTAAAGGAAAACCATATGGCCTGATATCTATGTTATTTTAAGCCCTTCTTTTGGCAAAGAGTCAATGTGGTGTCAATGACGTGTTTTTTCAGAAATGAAGGGAGAAAATGTGCTCCATTCGCTGATTATCAATAACAGATGACTCTTTAAGATCCTCTTAAAAATTACCTCATTATTTATTCTGGGTCTCGTCTGCAAATTAAACAAACCGTCCCTATATTTAAAGCAGAGTCGCCGGAGCTAAAGTTTCCAGGCGTCATTCTCTTAGAAACAGGTATTGTCTCACATTACCAACGCGGAAAGGATCCTGGCTTTTGTAGAGTCTCTGTTGTCAGGCTAGGGCAATCCTCTTGGTGACATTTCGGAGGAACCCCTGTGGATGACGTAGCCTAAAAGACTTTTCCCTGCTTTGGCTTGAATGACTGATGTGTGCAGGCCATTAATCTAAATCCCAGGAATTCTAGCATGGTTCAACTTAAGTTGCACGGGTTGGCCAGCCCCCAAAAGGGAAATGCAGCCGGCCTCACCCGCTTTCGTCTTTGCTTTGAAGAAATTGGGCGTTGAAGCCTTTCATAGCATGAAGATAAAATTGGGCTGCTGCAGATTTTTCCCCAATTAAATACTCTGGAACAAAAGGATCCTAACCTTCATGGGGGTGAAGAAAGTTCTGTTTGGCGGGAGAAGAAAGGAAATTGGAATATATCCTGACGCTGTTTTTTCCTTCAATGCTCAATGACATATTTTCACTTTTCCAGAGCTGTGTCAATAAATTGCTTTCAGATCTTCCTTGCCTTGTATGTTTTAGCTATTTAGCTATACCCCATCTTTCATTCAGGAGCTCAAGGGGTACGCAGTGCAATTTGCAACAACATACGGGGTTGTTTGCACTGGCAGTCAGTGTCACTGTGGGAGTTTTTCCTGTGGCTGACAATGGATCACAGAGGATCTCCCTGACGCTTCCTAANCTAAGGACATCATTAGAAAGAGATCAAGAGCTTTCTTTACAATGGCCACACCCTCCAGAACAGCTTTGCTCTGCAAAGTGAAGGAGTTGTCAGTTATCTGCTCATTCAGTTATAACTGATTGCTAGTCTTTTATTTTATTTTATCCATTTACCAATCAAATTTATTGGCTGCCCATCTTGCGATTCAGGCAACTGAGCAATTATGATTTATTGTATTAATTCCTGAGTCACCTAGAGCTTCTAACTTGAAGTGCCGTAAACATTTTATAATATTTTTTTTAAAAAACCCACCAGATTGGGGGGCAGTTAGTTAAGCTAACCTGTTTTTACCAA